CATGGATGCGGTAAAACCGTGCCTAGTGATTTTTAGCGCAGCTGATAAATTTTTTTAGCGCTTTATCAGCAGTTGCACACGTCACGGCGATAACTGCGAAGCAAAATCGAAACGACGTTATCTCACTGACTACACTTCCTAATCTTTCTGTGGAACATCGGACGTCATCGGCATCCAGAAAATCGCAGGCTATGCGAGGTTATCAGGGCTCTTATCAATACTCGATACGACACCATCTAATATTGATGACGACTGAATAAGCTCTAGCAAACCCCATAAGATCAACAATACTTGATTTTTCTTGCTGACTGCTTCTCGGGATTGCGGCAAGCGACGTCGTACTTTGGGAATCCGCAGCGAGGCTAGGGGGCGTATTGGGCCGTTGAAAGGAGAGGACTAGCATCTGCCTTTGAGAAACTTGTGAAAAATGTTTTTGGTTGCTGAGTTTTCTCGGTTTTCCTTTTTGAGTCGCGGCTTGGCTTTCACCGCCCCCCCCCCCCCCCCTGCTTTCGACAGTAGTTTTAGCAGAATGTGCGAGAATCTCGCTGGACAAAAAAAAAACTCTGCAAAAGTGGTAAAAAAAAGTTAGGAAGATGGCGTACGATGGTGGGTGGAATGAGAGTGGGGAAGGATGGGAGGGGGCCCTACCAGTGGGGGAACTTTTGAGGTGGTCGTGAATTGCAAAATTTTTCTTCAACGGCAGGACATGCCTTGACGGCAGGGCACATGATCGTGGTGTGACGAGAACTGGGATCGTATTTGGCCGCAGAGGGGAGCGTTCTTGGCCTCTGAAAAGCTTCCCGACAGCCGATTTCCCTTGTTCTAAGCGCACACCTCTATCACAAGTAAGCGGCCAAACAAGCTGGAAAAACTAGTAAAAATCATTAAATCTTGATCCACGCACCCGCGACAAGTGCCTCCTCCGCCCTAAATCCCTTCTACCGACAAAATTTTTCGTGTGCAAATATTGTAAGCGTGTAGATGGCTCAGAAAAAGGGGTCGTCTCCGAAGTAAATTTACAGGACTCGATTTCTGCAATAGTTTTCTTGAGAAGGCGACGCGCTCTGTTCTGTGGGAAGCACATGCAAGGGCGTTTCGACGACTAGGGCGAGCCTAAAGCTTAGCAGAGGGAGGGCGCGGGACGGAACATGACCCCAGGTAGGACTCTGGCATCGTAGCGCCCAGGGGAGGGGGGTGTTCCGATGCCAGTTTTCCGTTTTCCTGCTGCGTACTGATTTACTTCAGCCGTGAACAGCTGGCGCGCAGGACCCCGTACGAAGGACCTGCTATGACTGTACCTTCAAAGAAGACGGCTTGACGAAACGATCTATGCGGAGAGAGTTCAGAGATGTCGTACGAAGTCACGAGATTTGTGAACTAACTCAGGTGCCTGGCATTCCCAAAAACTGTGCTTGGTCTGAGAAAAAACCAAACTGGCTCCCCTGCATCGTCCCACTATTTCGGTAATAGGTTGCAGACCAGCATGTTTAGTCGACCCGGAGCTCGCTTCCCCAATTCACAAAACCATTGCTCAACCTAATATTGAAATAATGACGAGCGGTTCTTCTGAAAACATCATTCCGCAAAAAAAAGTTCATAATAAAACATAATTTCCCAAAAATCTATAAAAAATGTCAATGAATCATGAACGATCTCATCTAGGTAGCCTAGAACTGGTATTCCGGTTACAACATTAACCGGCATATCAAGAACAGATCATAAATAATGTAAAGCAGAACCACCCGAAAGAAAAACATATGAAGGAAAACGGGTAAAATGATGCTGACAGGCAATAGGCAAGACTATGTGGAGAGAGAATATTTCAAGAACACTTTGATGTGTAAGTGAGCAGAAAGAAAATGTGCCACCCCAATAAGGGGCATTTTAGTGCAGAGCATTCAAAAATTGAAAACCACGCCAAACATTTGCTCTTAGTGGTTTTTTTTTTTTTTTTTTTTTTCTTTTTTTTTTTTTTTTTTATTCTGAACATTTCCGAAACGTAATATCCAGTTAATCTCGAAAAAAAAAATGCAAAACCCCTTGTTGCTAACGTATTTGGGATGTCGCGTTCACCAAGTTTAAAGACAGCCCCCGCGCTCAAGTAGCACATGGTCTCTTTCCTTGCTGCAAGTAGTACAGCCCCCAAGCTGGAGACTGTGTCACTCTATTCGACTCCACAGCAAGCGAAAAGCGAGCTACAGCCGCTGAAAGTTCTAGTTCTAATGCCTACTCAGTTGGACCGTCTTACTTGCTAACGCCCTCCGACGCAGGGCCACTTAGTTGTTCTTAGTTGGGGCGGCGGGCATTAATCGGAATCGCACAATCTTTTTGCTGACCGCGCTCGTTCCCATGGATAATTCTGCTCTCCTCTATTACATTTTATTCACTAGAGGCATATACATTCAACTCAACCCATTTCGCAAGGTGAAACGCGTAAAAATCACGAATGACGCAATTTTCGTGGTGCAAAAGCTCGGCGCACTTCACTACACTGAAATGTGCGCTACCGTAACTCCAAAGCGCGACCACTCACGAGTTTTTTAATTTCCTTCCCTTTCATGAGTTTCACTCTGTGTTTTTGTTCCGTATATTTTTTGTGTTCTTTTGTCTTCCTGCACTGCCACGGATATTACTCCACCTACTGCGAGATGTCTGATCAGGAGAGATTTTATGCAGACTAGGCGGTGCACAGTAGCACCTCAGCGTCGAGCGTGTATTGACTTGTAAGCGACGTCCATCTCTTTGTTTATGGCGTTCTTGAGGACTCTTCTTGCTTTTTTTCTTCTCTGGGGGATTACTTATCAGCTACTGTTTCATAATTGAAAAGCAACTATCCATGACCCTTTTATCGCGGGAGGCTCAGAGTCACCGCGCGCTAATCTCGCCGAACAGACAGAATTCTTGGTTAGGAACAGGGCACCTCCTAATAGGTTGACCCCAGCCCCTCTCTGGGCGAAAGGTCTAAAGAAATTCTTTTCTCATAGTCTCATGGCGAAAATACATATTCCCTTGGCTGACAATTAATCAGCACAAAATGACGTCCGACATGATAATTTCGAAATGGAAACGTGTAGAAGCGAAGAAATAACACAAGGACTCTTTTGCACGAGCGTTTTAGACTCGTTAAATGGACCATTACAGTAGACGCCTCTCTTACTGGAAGAATGAAGCCGACCATATTAAAATGCCACCTCGTGACGGAAGAAGGATGTATGAATGAAGTGAGGTGAGCTGACGTAGTCGAAGGTGAGCTTCAGAGACTCCAAAGTGTGCAAACGACTGCCATACTTGCGGTCGTCCGCGCGGTGCCTCTCACCCGAGATAGCGATTGCTTCTCCCAAGCTTGGACACAGAAGAGGCGCAGTTCGACATGGTGGGGACATCAAATAGCACCCAGTGGCTTCTCCAAGCCACCTTGTGAAGACTTGCAAGTTTCCGTAACTGGGGTGGCTCACTTGTACCATTTTGCAAATTCCCAGAGTTTATAGGTGTCAATCTGCAGTCAATATGCCCTAACATGACGAATTTGGTAAAAATTCAAGGTGCACCCAAGCTTAAAAGCGCTGAATAGTTCGCATTCCGATGACCCGCTGCTACCGTGACCCACGCCGCTGTAAGAGCTTTCCCCCGCGCAATCACGGAGGCCGTATAACACGATTGTTCAAGGGAACTTAAGCTTGCAAAACTAAGACTAAGCGCGCAGAACACTGCAGCAGCGATTCCTCGGACCGCCAAATCTCCTTTTCAGAGGCGCTGACGACCAGAGTTGCGTCGCTGTCACTGCGTGGTCCACTCCAACTAAGGTGAAGACAGTTCCCGCGATCAAGTGTTACGGGTAACTCCATCATGAACCCAAATGTAGTCCAAGATACCCGCCAGAAGAAGCAAAAAAAATCTTGAGAACACTATGAATATAGACCTCCTTAACAGTGGACCCCTTGGACGAGTTTGTCGGACGTCGGCAACCCCAATCAGCAGTATTCGACGTGCATCCGATTCCCGGCAAGAGTACAGGGAATCACCCTACGACGCTCCAGGCCAACGCCCTGTACACATACAATGCCGCTTGTTAGGCGTTGTGTTACGGGAGTGAAGTAATCGCGGTTGCAATGATTGCATCATCACGCGTCTCTACCTTCTAATTTCACCTTTTCGTGTGACCAACAAGTTGTATATCTTATTCCAAATTCGGATAACGATACAAAATGGGCGAAGGCATTCCGCGGACCATTTGATCGCGGGAACTGTCTTTAACTCCTGAGACAGTTTCCATAGAAATAAAAAAGTATAACCATAAAGTTCATTACCACTGCATTACAAAACGTTAAAACAAGGTGGTTCTTCATTCAAATAATCTGAAGACTAGTTGCTAAGACATAAATTATTATCATAATTAATTCAATTTACCTTTTCTTTGTTGAGCGTCGAAGCTGTAACTGCATGACCATTTGATGTGACTATCGACGCACCTTAACCTGACTTCGACGACATTTCGATACTGGAAAAGACCGAGCGCAACAAATCAATATATCATATCAAATCCTTTTTCTTGAAAAATATATTACTCCAACTCGAAATTCCAGTGAAATTAATCTTCAGCAGGAAAAAACTCTCGAAAACAATTTCGATCAATAAAGACAGCCGGTTAGAACCGGAACACAACAATAAACAAATCTGCTTGAAAATTTTATGCTCATATAACAACAAAACAACAATTAAAAAAGGAAAACATACTCAGAGGTTGCGTAACCAAAGAGTTTTCGGAACAAATGAGAGCAGCGCTTTTTTTGTAACATTCGAAAGCAAGTAGCAAGCGACCATCTGGCGCTTACGTAAAAGCGTGAATTAAAACGTGAAAACTAGTAAAACTTGATTAACAAACAATCGCTTTTCAGCGGCCGTTTGGGGTTCAGCGGGTGGTAATCGACTGCTAGATTATTACACGAAGATCGGAGCATGAGAAGAATATTAAACGTTCGGAGGCAATGACCGCACGTCCTTTAATAGCCCTGCTGATGTTCGTCGTCGGGCACTCTCACATCATCAATTTTCAGAATCATACGAACAACCTGAAAATGCAACATCAAAGGGATAGCGAAATTGCGGGGTTAACAGTTTGCGATTTTGACAAACGGACGCTTCCGCGAAGAACGCTGTCGCGGTTTTCCACGTTCCCTGCGATCGATTGAGATCATAAGCAATGATAGGGAGAAAAAAAAAGAATTGGAAGGGGCACGCTAGGCATTCATTTGAAGGCCTAACACATGACGATTCGGTACTTGGTTTGATATGGTAGCGGAGGGGGGGGGTACCATAAATAGTGGGGGGAAAATGGCGAAAAACGAAGTGAAACGATTAAAAACTTGCAAAAAAGCCTCTGTTGTGCACGGAATGGATGAGTATTTTTGGCTGAGTTCATGGCATCGTGCCAATAACCGCTAGATGCATGTATGTCATACATCTCCTCACCCGTTTCATATCAATCCCTTCGCTTCATATTGCACATCTCAGATGAAGCGATACGAGCATCAACATAAATCGGACAGTTGTGGGCGGGCGGATACAGCGGGCGTCTGGGTCGGCATGTTGCAGCTTGATAGGGCGCTATGAGGGTACCTTTATTGGAAAAGGCGCCACGCGATGCCTGGTCAGAGAAGCAAATTCTGTTGCTGGGCGTATTAACTACATGTTTTGGAAATTTATCGTGCCACCTGCCTTTAATGTTCAAGCATCTTCTTTAGACATGATAGCCCTGTCCGCATGAGAGATTTGCCACTTTGATGAAGATAGAAGTAGAAAAGGAGAACACTTTTTCGCAGCTTTTTCTTCAAAAAATTGCTGTTTTTGCCCCAAAACCTGCTGTTAGCCGAGAAGAAGGGAGTGCGGGGGTACCCACCTTGAAACAGAAGAAAACCGAGGAAACTAGCTAAAAAAACCTTGCCTTCCGAGAATTTTTTCGCGCAGGAAATTGCGATCGCCCTAACCTAGGCGACCAGGTTCGACCCTGGCTAGGGATTCTCAACGTTCGACGTGCCCTATCTACATGGCGCATTCAGGAAAAGCGTCTTCGTGGAAATCAATACGCTTTTACTGAAAGGGGCAAAAGCAGCGACTCGTAAATACTACAGAGTACGAACGCCTTTTATGATATCATCAAAGTGCTCTAATGGCTATTAAAAATGACCTCACAAAGGTCTGGACACTCACCTGCGTGGCAAGGGAAATCTGTTCCTTCTTCGAAAGCAGAGTTTCGATGACTTTCTGCTCTTTCATGTCATTTGTCCCACTGAAGAGCGCATCGATCCCTAGGTATGGCTTACCCATCTCAATTTGTTTCGCCTGCAAATGAAAAGTCACGTCTATCAATAAAAAGAGACGTAATTCGTTCAGCGAGGGCTGCAATTGAGACTCAACGAACCTTCAAATCGGTAATTGCATCGATAGGGCCCAGACCACTGTTCTCAGCCAGCGCCATAGGAATCGCCTCTAAGGCATCGGCAAAGGCACGGAACGCGCATACTGCTCAATACCCTCGATCTAGAAAACACATTTGATAGATTTTTAACAATTCACTTCCAAAATGAAGCACATTTCCTTTAGATACAGCACTCTGCCTTTCCCACCAGCAGCCATAAGCGATATGCTATCAGAAACCCATCAATTGACCATATTTTGGGACCTCCATCAATTGGAAGAGTTAGTAAGTGTACCCTACTTTTATGGGAATCTATTAATTTTGCTAGAAGCACTTCATCCCGACGCGCGGGAATGCTCGATCAAATTCGCTAATGACTATGTCTGATAGAAAAAATGATAAATGGTCTTTCATGAAAGCCTACGATCGATTAAATGCCTCTCACTCTCTCAAAACGCGACTGATCAATTCTCACCTGTGGCTGCTTCATTTCTATAGGACTGGAGCGCTATTGCAGTTGTAGCACGTTCAAAATGTGTGAAGAGCCATCTCGGAGAAACTCGGCTAAGGGGGGGGAGGCAATAGGAGCGATTCCTTACTTACTTATTCGTACGAAACTGGGATTACCGTATTGTCAACCCGTGGCACTCTCCTTGCTGGGCTTGGGCTAGAAACTTCACTCCCATTATGGCAATCACAGTTTCACTCAAGGGGTCCTTGAAATGCCTCCTACCCTGGATCGACTTGCCCCCGACAACTCGTATTCAAATCAAATAAAGATTATAGGAGCCATAGCCTTAAGACGTACCTTATCTGCCTCCTTTGCCACCTCGATAGCACATGCTGTCTCCGCAGAACCGCCTCCATACACAATACGATCATCTCGGACCAAATTACGGATTACGCAAAGGGCATCGTGAATCGAACGCTTTGCCTCATCAATAATCTATAAAAAAGGTGATGATATGATAGCGAATAGATGAAGCCAAATTGCAAACTGACCATTTTGTTGCCTCCACGAACAAATATAGTGACTGCTTTGCTATTCGGGCACTGTTCAATGGACAACATACGGTCGCGTGCTGTTCCAAAGGTGATCTCCCGTACAAGGCCAGCTGAGCCAAGCTTCGAAGGAGACAGTTCCGAGAATCTAAACAGTGCCAAATAAGGAACCGTGCAGGCAACCGCGTTCAAAAAGGGGAGACGGACAAAACAATCACAATCTTTCGCGCTCGTCGCGCGCGGAGTATCGGGCGCTGGGCGGATACAAGGCCCCATGACGGACAACACCGAGTCGTTTTGTTATGATTACTGCTGTTTACGCCGCAGTTCGCGTTGAGGTGCAGGATCGACTCCCGCCTGAGGTTCGACTTTTGCCCATGAGTCAGCATTCTTGTGAGGACGACACTGAATTTCCCCATCCTTATCACCTTTATACGCAAACAGCAGGCAGAACAACTCGTCCACCGGGCCTAGCGTTGCTCTCTCCGCCGACCAGAGCGGCATATTACGATTGTCTTGTCACGTCCTTGTAAATACCCTACCTGGGCACGATTCTGCCATTCGTAGCGATAGCTAGGAGTTCGATTTCTGGTCCTCCCACCCAGCGAACGGCTGGAAGCTGATGGTGATGCAGGAGATGGTTAGCCTCATCATCGAATCCCCACTGACAAATTGCTAATGTGGCTCCACTATCTTTGACCTGAAACAAACCAGAAAATGACATGCAAATGCGCTCAACATCCAGTAGAGTTTAAAGTATGCGCTTATGGAAAAAGGGTACGGAAACCACTGAAAACTCGTTCTACACAGCGACATCATTGGAATGATTACTGAGTAACTGAAAGCAGTAAATGAACTGGAAACATCTAAGGGCATGGGCATAAACATTAATCTCTGCCTCACTTCTGAGTACAATAGCACACTCGCATAGTAAACAATCAAATGGATGAGAAATGCTACCCTTTTATAAATATCACGAGTAAAATCCTTGTTTTCCAGCCACTATTAACAGAAAGTACTTTAGCCAGTAATTTCCAAAGCCCTGGAAGGGTTCACAGTAAAGAATACGGCGGTAACAACTGAGAAAGGGGATGGGAGGGGTGGGGAGAGAACACAGTTTTGCTATCACCGGCCGAGTACCCTGTGAACTCCTCTCAAACTTGTCAAAATGACTGGTCAAAATAGAAATGGAGAAACGGCGTTCCATTGACGTCATGGCTATTTTTCGAAATTTAACAGAAGTTTATAGTGTACTTGAGGGGGTCCACAAGACTTGCAGGGTGAGACACGAGTGTGAAAAGATAAATGAAAAAAAACACAAAGACGCTCATTGAAAAAGCTTCCAGGTGCGCCCCCTCTTCCCCAAGGTTACCTTCCGCCAAAAATACCTCATATTATATCTTTCCAAACATTTTTAAAGACACATTCCAAGATTGCAAGTCGCGGGTAAAGCGGTCAAATTGTGGCCTCCTATGTGCTAATTGTTTTGCCATTGAGAAAAAAGCGGAATAAACTCATTAAAGGTACCAAAAGGCCTTACATGTTTTTAACGAGCACAGAAAGTAGCAACAGAAAGTTTTCGAGCACAAAAGAGAGCCCAGAGAATTGCAGATGAGAGCGACAAAGTTGTTCACACTAAAAAGGCGCGAAAATCGATGTGCAACGTAACTGACTAGACAAAAGCTATGGTCACGTGTACCTGATATGGGCGCGGTGCTACCATAAATTACCAGCCCCGGGCTCCTTACAGCGCTTTTTTCTGATGGCAAAACTGGTACAACTTCGGCGGGCACGAATCTACCCATCTTATACACGAAATTGATTCTACGCTTTAAATAATCGTGGAAGTAGCCTTTAAGAACTCCTACTGCAGTAGAACAGAGCAGTTAAGAGGATACAGCTTTGCATATTTCCCTACGGTCAAGTACACGGGGTACGACAGCACGCACTCAGCAGTAGAAAACAATCACAAAAGAGAGGGTACAGACGAGTAGCGCGTTGGGTCATGGTTATGAGTGTTTATGAGTGTAACTGGCCAAGCGGCAAAGCAGGCGGAGTATCGAGATAGCACACGAGCGTCACTACCTTCCAGACCCCTTCCCATGCACTTCTGACCGAATAAAGAGGCAATTATACCGAGAGTCAGAGACTAAAGTCATAGAGATGAATCGTAAGACCTAAGCAATCGCATCACGGTAAAGTCGAGCCCAAACTATGCGCGTTTGCTTGTCCTGTCTTCTCGTCTAATCTAATTACCTTTTAATCAAGGGAGGTCCACAACAGTAATAGACTGTCTAGTTTATCTTCAATACTGTTAATGTAATTGGATCAGAGATTGACAATATAGCGACTAGAAGACAATAGGTACAAAACAAATTACCGCATCAAAACAAAGCAACAATATCATTCAAAAATTCAAATACTTCCACAAAAAATTCCATTAGTAGAGCCATTTTAGTTTTCAAAAATGAATTCCTAGATGACCTTTTCTAGAATAAACAACCAAGAGGAGCCTTAATTGAGAAAGGAACTGTTTCCAATCATTTATCTTGATAATTGTGATCAATAATCTAATTATTATCAAGTTCATCAATTACATTATTGAGTGTTACGCAATTCATTCTCTAATTCATCTCACTCTTCCTGCTAATTAATCATAATAGAAAAACAAATGAGAAACTAGTTTAGAAAAAATCGCATTTTTTCAGCAGTTCTAAGAAATTTTCTTCGACAGAAAACCAATGGGCCAGTCTATATTGCACAGATATTTCCTGGAATGCTTTACCCCGACTGCATATTGTGGATGGTGGCGTTGGATTACAAAGTCATAGTCGCTAAGTGACTCTTCGGGCAAGAAAAACACACGCAGAAAACCATAGCTTGCACCCCCCCCCCCCTCGCAGCGTCACTGGACGAGTTGTCCGGTTCTTCTCGTCCTATGCCAGTGAAGAGATTTCCTGCCGCCTCTGGCTCACTAATCGTCCTTCGCATCATTCAAAGCCAATAGCATCTTACTGTAAAAAAACGGAATATGCGCTGTAAAAACTGCTCGAGACAGAAAATAGCCCTTGAGTTCTGGAGGGCGGGACAACTACAGAGGTGTCAGAACTGCCACTTATGTGAGCCGCAGGTCATATTACTTCCTATGAGGCCGCGAAAGTGAAGGAAATCCCGAAGAATGAGGACACACTCGCACTAGGAAGGACGCTTACGAATTACTTGGGCGCAGGCGCTGTCTTTAAGAGCACTTTTTCTATAGATCGAATTGAATATTAACTGCGGTAAGAAAGACTACACTAGAACTGTTACAAGTGCAATTTTCGCGCATTCAAAGCTTTTGTTTTCAACAGTTTATATTGCCCCTCAACCTCTCAATCCCGCCTCTCTAAGAGACAGTGATGCTAGCGGCGACATCAGCTAATCCTCCCTATAGTTCCTGCATAAGAATGGTATAGCGAGTCTCAAACATCAGACAAACAGGAACTGTTCATGTTGGGGAGTGGGGGGGGGGCACTTCGCTCTAAATCCTTTTGTTAGGTCGTTGTCTCAATTTGGTGAGACTGTAAGTTCTTCAGATACTGTGAAGCGCTACAATGAGTCTGCTTGCCATGGTACTTCAAAGGTCTTCCCAGATGGCCTGTGCAGGCCTTGCTGAAAACCATTTGGTACCCCCACCAAGCCGAATAGTGCCGACAAACAACTAATAGGCTTTGGCATTACCCT